CTGGAGGAAAGGAAACCATGCCAGAAGACCAGGTGCTCACGCTTTCAGAAGTGCAGAAATGGACAGGTTTTCTTTACTGCACATCTTGCAGGAGTCAAGGCCTAATGTTGTTTATGTCTCTGACTCTGTGATGGCAGCTCCCACAGGTGGCACAGGGCGGTACACCAGCCTTCCAGATCTCCACCAGCCTCCCCCGAACCATCACAGATCAACACCCAAGTTCAAGTAAAAGCCACATGCCCGCCCTCCAGGTGCCCATCCCCGCCTGTCTCTAGCCTCATATCTCTGTCCCACACACTCCTGTAGCCACCAAAGGTGACCCGGAGCTTCTGATGAAGGGTACCTGTTGGCAAGGTTGTGCCTCCCCTTGGTCAATGTATGCGTTCCATCCAAGAGGACAGAAATTGGGTTCTCGCCGACACAATCAAACTTGAAATACCCAGAGACATTTTTTTCTACTAAAAGAAACAAGTCTTGGGTGAATCTTTTCACATCTCACTTTTCTCATCTGCAAATGGGAATAATAATGGTTCCTAATTCACTGGGCAATGATGAGGGTTACAGGATTTAAATCATGTAAAAAGGCCTGACCAGCCCTAATCTGCTTAGCTCCTTTTATCCTCACTGAATGAATGAATGCAAATTGAGCCTCTACGAACCTGTCGCAAATGAAAAACGCACGTGCAGATTTGATTATTGACATAACAAGAGGTGGGAAAAATCACCTCTTAGATGTGGACATGTTCAGTACTTTATGTTTGCAGTTTACACTGTGAAATACTTTTTTCCCCCCAGGACTACACTTTGTTATATGAAGAGGCAAAATATTTTCAGCTTCAGCCCATGTTGTTGGAGATGGAAAGATGGAAACAGGACAGAGAAACTGGTCGCTTTTCAAGGCCCTGTGAGTGCCTCGTCGTGCGTGTGGCCCCAGACCTCGGAGAAAGGATCACACTAAGCGGTGACAAATCCTTGATAGAAGAAGTATTTCCAGAAATCGGCGACGTGATGTGTAACTCTGTCAATGCAGGCTGGAATCACGACTCGACCCACGTCATCAGGTTTCCACTAAATGGCTATTGTCACCTCAACTCAGTCCAGGTATAGCATTGTTACACACTGTGTGGCATCAAATGTCACTCTCACCGTTGTCACTTAACCTTGCCCCCACATAGTGCCTTTCCTCCAAAGAGCTGAGAAACTCTCACTCAGTGACACTTCTGTTGGGTAGGTGAATTATCACCCTCTACAGCAGTCATTCCGTAAGTCTTGTGATTATGCCAGGTGCTGGGATGAGCACTGGAGATACAGAAGGGACAGATGTAGAACACAACAGCTGGGCACGGTGGCACACGCGTGTAGTCCCAGCCACTCCAGAGGCTAAGGCAGGAGGATCACTTGAGCCCAGCAGTTCAGGTTCAGTGAGACAAACAGAGAACAAGACAGACAGCTCTGCATTCATGGAACTGCATTATGGGAGTGGAGTGGGGGGCAAACAGTCAACATAAATATATTGCCCAGGAGGTGGTAAGTGGATTTCTGGGGTAGAGTATGCTGGGCATATTGAGGACTATCTGGAAAGCCAGTTTGGCTTGAAGAAAGTGAATCAGGGAGAGAAAGTGCCCAGACAGGAGGGAAGATCAGGGACAGATCATGGAGAGCCTTGTTAGGGGGTGGCAAGTGCCCTAGGATTGTTTATTTTGGCACCTTTTGGTTTTGGTTCATTTGTGTATGTGAGCCAAATGGAAATCCATTGGAGGGTTTTGAGCAGAAGGGAGAACTGACAGAACTCGTATTTTAAAGTGAACACTGTGACAGCAGCTAGAGAACAGGAGAAGCGAGGAGACCGGGCAGCAAGCTGTGGTACAAGCAGTTGAGAAGTGTCCAGATACTGAGTGTCTGGAGGGTAGAGCTAATAAGGTTTTCTGACGATGGCTGTGGGTTGTGAGACAGAAGCCCGGGATGACTAAGATTTTTGACAGAGGAACTGGGTGAGTGGAACTGCCATTTCTTGAGATGGAGAAGTCTAGGGGAGCAGGAGATGTGGGGGTGGAATTCAGAACTCAGAGGCTAACATGTGCTGAGCACTGACTCTCTGCCCTACCCTGGGCCAGGGCCTGGACATGCGTTGTCTTCTTACAAGCCTAACAGGTAAGCACTGTTAATCCTCTCTGTCTTTCTGATGAGAAGGCAGAGGCGCACCTGGGTCTCGATTCCAGCTCCGTGTGACACAAAACCGTTTGAAGTCAATGGAGTGAGGGTTCTAGTTTTTCCCCTCTTTTTAACTGGAATGGGCCCATGAAGTTGTTCAGTATTTAGTCAGCAGAACCCTTCCCAAAGCACAGAGACTCGAAGCACCCACTCTTCCGTGCTGCCTCTTAAGGATTGTTCCACGACTATTTATAACTCTTTAAATGTATGAACAGATGTCTGAGAACAGAAGAGCAGAAAATTCTGGCAGAAAATGTTCCCTAAGCATGCTAGCGGAAGGCACATGCTCCCAGGCGGCGGGGCGGCCGCTGGGTCGCAGGGTTCCGGAGGACGGCATTCGCGTTCTCACCTGTGTGGAGAGCGCCCCCTGGAGGTGTGTGGCGCTCCCGCATGGCCCTGCACGGCGTTTCTGAGACGGTCTCAGCAGTTTAAACCTCTTTAAAGCCCAGAAAGCCGGTCCCCTTCCACACAACAGCCTGCCCTGGCTGCCACAGGAGCAGACAGAGGGGCAGAACCATTCAGAGCCAGGACAGGAAGGCCTCGGCCACACCCTGGGGCCAGTGAATAACGATCGTCAATTCATATGCTTGACAGTTTCCCACGTCAGATGTGGAAATTTTCATCTGGATTAACGTGATCGTATGACACAGCCATGACCTACCCTTGCTTCCTGCTCCACTGACCAAGAAATAGTCACCAGCCTGTGGGCACGCAGAGACTCTGGGATAAGGCTTATGACACCCTATACCTCACTAAGTTGTTATATGATCACTCAGTTTAAGGAACTTTGCTGTGAACGTGTTGTTGTTTCCAAAGTAATGGCTCCATCAGCTGTTTGCATTACATTGAAATAAGCTTTTGACCACATCCAAGGTAACATTGGATCACATTGAATAATTATCACATGATGCCTATCGAACTCCGAAGAAGAGCTTAGAGATTTCCTCCTGTTAGCATTTAGTGACCTTAAGACTCAAAGAAAAACGGACATCAGGGTTAGGTTCTCTGCTGTTCACAGCTTCCTCCCCTTTGGATTTCCCCTCCTAATCATGGCAAGGAATGTTTTCCAGGGTCTGGTTTGGCCAAGCAAGCTGGAGTGCCTCTTGCTGAAAGCTGCATTCCTGCCTCTGCTGGGGAATACGTGGAGGGAGCTGTTGTTCGTCTTTGTATCTACCTGCCACCAAAGCACGTCTTGATTTTGAAATTAGGGATTGTTTTCTTCCTGTCCTTATGCTGACGGGTATCATATGCATTGTGAATTTACCTACAGAAATAGCGCACTGCTGGGTAGAATGTTAATTTTGTTCTCATAAGGACTTGTGTTTTTTTAATTTGCCAGCACTTGAGGTTTTAATTTTTAGAAAACACACTCTCTTGCTTTCCAGTCTCATCTAGTAAGCTGTTTTGCAACACAGCAGACTATATTCTATATTGAAGTAGGCAACTAAAAAATAATTTTTTTAAAAGTAAGGATTCACGTTACATTGACTACATTTCACTTCCTTCCAATAGAAGTTTTTTTGAGGTGGGCGTTTTTTTGTTTTTTATTTATTTTTTTTTTTTTTTTTAAAGTTATGACTGAATCACTTTGCTTTCAAGGTGGTGTGGAGGTAATTTAATTATATTCAGAACTCTGGCAGGAAATATTTGCAAGTCTAATAATATTTGTTGGATTCCTAAAGAAACAGAATGCTCCAGATCAGTTTCCTGTATTTGTGTCTAAGAGTCACAGGTACTGTTTCCTGCATTTAAGAGTGTCAGACGTGTAGTGCCAAACCCGGGAATCTTGCTGGCGTTAGGTATTTGATTTCAAAATTAAGAAACAGATTCTATGGTTTACATTTGTATAAAAAGTTTAGAATATCTTTATTTTTCATACATTTTCTTATATGTAATCATTGTGCTGATTCTTGTCTCCTTGAATGCATGCAGGGAAATACATCTGTTTCAAATGCTACAAACTTGAAAATCTGTAGATAATCCTCTAGTGTCTTCAGTAGTCCCTTTGTTCTGCTATTGAAATTACATCAGTCTTCCAGTTTGAAACATATATATTAACTTGGTGTTAGGAAACTCGAACAAAGGCGGAGTTGAGAATACAAATGAATCACTGGCTAAGTAAACTCTGCCATCACTGTCCTTTCCAGATCTATCATCTCATAGGATGTATTTTAGCGATAAATGAGCTTTGAAATGTGAACCCTCATTTTTGACAGAGAGGGCAGCATTGCGTATACAAAAATAACAGGTTTGAGGCCAAACAGACCTGAGTTGGAAACCCAGTTCCATCACTGACTAGCCATGGGCCTCAGTTTTCTCATCTATAAAATGGGCCTACCACCACCGAGTGTTGTAGCTGGTGTGTGTAAAGCAACCATGTAAAGGCACATTTTAGGCACTAGAAATGCTTACTTCCTCTCTCCTGCCCGTTAATCCAGGATCTTCCTTTGAGAGGAGCAGCTCACAGGGACATGGGTGCCGGATGAGATGAACCAGAGCTGCGCATAATCTCAAACTTTGGGGTGTTTATGTAGCCATAGGATTTACCTCACCCCTAACTGGATGCTTGTCTTGTCCTCGCAGGTCCTTGAGAGGTTGCAGCAAAGAGGATTTGAAATCGTGGGCTCCTGTGGGGGAGGAGTGGACTCGTCGCAGTTCAGCGAATACGTCCTTCGGCGGGAACTGAGGCGGACGCCCCGCGTACCCTCCGTCATCCGGATAAAGCAAGAGCCTCTGGACTAAATGGACATATTTCTTATGCAAAAAGGAAAACACACAAAACCAATAACTCAAACAAACAAAAAAGGGACATTTATGTGCAGTTGGAACAGCAAACCAAGTCCTGGACCTAAAATCGAATAAAAGACACATTTATATCCAATAGAGACCACACCTGTATTCATATGGGAACAATTGGAATAGTGATATCCTCAAGGTGTAAAAAATATATAAATATATATATATACATATATATATATATATATGTCAAAAGGTAGGAAATGCAAAAAAGAAAAAAGGTGATAGCCGCAGTTGGTGCTGTGATGGCCGTGAAGTGTCGTAGGCCTCCCGAGGTCTCTGACTAATAAACAAGCCATGAGCGGTGAGGACACAGTCTCCTTACAGTTTCCATTGCCAACAGCCATCCATTCTTTCTTTTTCCTTTGTCTTTCTTTTTCCTTTTTTTTAAAAAAGAAAAAAAAAACCAAACACCTTGAATCCAGTTTTTTTGTATATGGAGGTTCCACGTCCCTCTTTAGGCTGGGACCAGGCGGGACTTCAGAAAAACCCTCATGAGCACATTGCAAAGATGTTAGACATGAAATTTTACATGTAGTTTGTACAGAAGTCACACTTTTTTGTCCACCTCACAGATGTGAACTTTACTTTGTTTTAAAACTGATCAGTTTTGCCAAGGGGCCAGAATTATTCCTTGTTAGAATTGCTCCAGTTCAAGTCTGCTGCTTTCCTACAATTTTTCAAATTTTATAATGTATTAAATACAATAAACTCTGTTTAAAAAAGATGGTCTGTGTGAAACACACATGTGGGGGTGAGGCTGGATTAAAGTGAAATTTTTTCTTTTTGAAATTGTCCGTGTTGAGCATCAAAAAGAGGCTTGAAAGCCGGGGTCAGTTTTGAAGGCAAAACCTACTAAAGGCTAAGGATGTCATCACCTGTTCCAGACAGTGGTCTTCTGACTCAGCAAATGTTATTTCACGTGCTTTGTGATTCTGCATTGGTTAGCAAGGTAAATCTTCCTTCTTACGGACTTTTCGGTTACACCTATTTCAGTTATCTCTGGCCGCAGAGCAAGCCACACCAAAATTTAATGGCTTAAAACATTTTGTTCTGACCTGCGATACTGGCCTTCGCTGGGCTGTGTCTGCTCCACGAGTCTGCTCCATTGCTGCAATCCAGGGGGTCTTATTGGTGTGGAATGTCCTACATGGCTCACCCAGATGGCTGCAAATACTTGGCTGTTGGCCTCTATGTGGCTTGGGCCCCTCTCAACATGGTAACCGGATTCCAAGAAGAAGGCAGAGAAAGCCACAGTTCTCTAAAAGCCTGGGCCCCGGGCGGCACAGTACACTTCTCTGCTTCCTGTTGTTGAACAGCCACATGGCCAGCCCAGACTCAAGGAGGGGGAAATAAGAACCTCCTGTTGGGGAAAGTAACAAAGCATTTGTGACCACCTTCAATCTACCATAACACCTGTCCAAAGCATCTTATAAGTAGGGCATTATGGTTTTGCAAAAAGTAGGGAACAGCGCAGAGCCAGAACTATCATTATATTATTAGCCAGAGAAGTAAAAAACCTGAGATTTCAACAGCACTTTAGAATGAAGTCCTCAGCTTTTCCAAGGTATTAGTGACCCTGATTCTTCGATCAGCCCTACACCCACCTTTCTTCCCTCCTCTTCCTCATTGCAGACACTCAAAATAAATCTGACATGCTGGTAAGATTGACAGGTAAACGAGAATGTGTTTCTGGTGCAGAGATATTCCTGTGGTGATGGGTTATTTCCATCCTGAACTTACTTTCTTTTTTTAAATTAAAAAGTGTATGCCTGAGGACACTAGTAATGAAAATATCTCTGGCTTCTGAAACTAAAAGTGAGCTGTTAATGGCTCCTATCACTGCCTGAAACACAGGCGGCCCAAACGCTGAATTACTTTAATGATGGCTAGCCAGGTTTCCACATTGCTGCGTAATTTCCCTATTTGAGACTAATACACCACTCTCTCAGATGGGGACAGACAGGGCTGCTCCCACCAGCTGCTCAGTCATCCACGTCCCACTGAAAGGAGAATAAAATTGCTGTATGATTTACTAGCAATCCATTCTCGTTAAGCAGAATTTCCTCAAATCAATAATGCAAGGGCCTCACTTTGGGACTCTGCTGGTTATTGTCATCAGTTAATGTTTACCCAGCACTGCTTATGTGCAGTTAGCATTGTCCCAACCAAATACTGCACAGAACGGTGTACATTGGCTACTGGCATCCACTTTGTTCTTTTCTAAGTTCTTCGGTCTATTTATATGACTGCATCCCAGTTGCACATTGTTTCTACAAAAACTCTGATCCAGTTCAATGGAGCAAACAGTTCACTTGTAATGTTCATCTTTTTAGGTCTTGAAACATGTAGATTCCCAGACACCAAAATACTTTAGGAAAGAGTAGGTCAATCAAAATGTCAAAATATAATTGAATCATCTTTTTTCTTTTCTTTTTTCTTTTTCTTTTTTTTTTGAGACAGGGTCTCACTCTGTCACCCAGGCTGGAGTACAATGGCACAACCTTGGCTCACTGCAACCTCCACCTCTAGGTTCAAGTGATTCTCCCACCTTAGCCTCCCAAGTAGCTGGGATTACAGGCATGTGTTACCACACCCAGCTAATTTTTTTTTTTTTTTTTTTTTTTTTTTTTTGGTAGAGATGGGTTTTGCCATGTTGGCTAGGCTGATCTTGAACTCCTGAACTCAAGTGATCCACCCCCATCGGCCTCCCAAAGTGCTGGGATTACAGGTGTGAATGAATCACAATCTTATTTTTCACTACTGCTTATTATTCAATGTAAAGTTCATGTTCAAACTTCACCAGTGTCCCCAAAAGGATCTTAACAGCTGTGCTTTGCACCTAAGGATCTGATCAAGGATTACGCATTGCATTTATTAATAATACCCCCCCACCCCTTGCTTTTCTTTGGGGGGATCTTTCCATGACATCGACTTATTGGAAGAGTCTAGGTCAACTGTTTTGCAGATTTGGATTTGTCTGATTTGTCCCTCATTGGTAGAGTCAGGTTTGTTTGGTTTCAAGAATACTACATAGGCGATTACATGTCCTCAGTGCATCATATCACAAGACTCAGTTTGGCCCATATTATTAATGGCAGTTTTAGCCTCTTGGTTGAAGTAACATTCACCAAATTACCCAGTGTAAAGGTAGCTTTTTCTTTTTGTAATTAATGATTATCTATGGGATGACGCTATGAGACTATAAATATCTTGTATCTCTCAACACACTCTCACCAAATGGTTTTGACATCCATTGGTAATCCTTTCCCAAATCAATCATTACCTTGGGAGCACTAAAAGTTTGCTTTTTAAAAAGCCACTGTTGGCCATGCGTGGTGGCTAACGCCTGTAATCCCAGCACTTTGGGAGGCCGAGGTGGGTGGATCATGAGGTCAAGAGATTGAGACTATCCTGGCCAACATGGTGAAACCCCATCTCTACTAAAAATACACAAATTAGCTGGGCGTGGTGGTGCATGCCTGTAGTCCCAGCTACTCCAGAGGCTGAGGCAGGAGAATCACTTGAACCCAGGAGGCGGAGGTTGCAGTGAGCCGAGATCACGCCATTGCACTCCAGCCAAGGCGACAGAGCAAGACTGTCTCAAAAAAAGCCACTGTTGCCTGAATCTTTGATAGTTGGAATACTCTTTTTTTTTTTTTTTTTTTTAGCAAAATAAAAAATCTTTAGTCTAGGGCAAACAAGCTACACTACTTGACCTGCTCTTTTCTAAGAAGTATTTTAGAAAACTAGAATAAGGCAAGCCACTTATAAACTGGTTCCAAATATTAGATGAGTTTCTCCATAATAGTAATAGTCATCCGTTTAGTGTTTGCTGTGTGCCAGACCTGTACTGAGCACTTTACCTGTTAACTCATTCAATCCGTTGACCATACTGGAGGTTGTATTATCCATCCCTATGTCTTGGTTAAAGTAACTAAGACCCTAAGACATCAAATAAAGGATATGATTAAGGCTAATGTTCGATTAAGTTTTATAAGGAGGACCCAAAACAACTATTTAAGAAAAAGTAAGTTTTTATGTGCAATAGGAGGAAGCAGTAGATTATTAATTAATAGCATTTTCTCCTCATAATGGAAATGTACTCCTGTTGTTAAGTATTTTGACCATCTTCTTCAGTATGTTGGGTACTTGGCTTTGCTGATACTAGGGTGACCATGACATGGTTTCTGCTGTGGGTTTCTGGGGAGTGAGAGGAGCAGGGCTCTCTGCACATCTAGCGGTGAATTAAGGTATGTGCATACCTAACTACAGTCCAAGGCACAATGGGATATGTGTCATTTCATAGTTACAAACCAAGGATTCTAGAAATGCCCAATCATATGGGATCATATCTAGTCGGGGATATTAGAAAAACCATCCTTGGGGAGGTGGCGCTTGAAAGATGGGTAGGCTTTGCAAGGAAGGAGTATTTGGGGGTGGGGCAGAGGCTCTGAGCTGGAGGAGCACAAGGCAGGGTCAGCACATGGTATGGGACGAGGGAAGCATGGGCTAGAAAAGGAAGGTGGAATTGGATTTTGGGAGTGTGAGAGGGGAGCTGATCTTGACTGCCAGACAAGGATTTGGACTTTATTTAGGAACCATTCGAGAATCACAGAAGGTGGGCAGATACTCATTTAGGGAGTCTGTAGGCTTGACTGTCCGGGAACAGTCTGTTGATGGGGGGGGGCAGTTAAGTGGCTGTTTTCCCCATTCATCCATTCATGATCTACAAAGCAGGCTAAGACCTGATGACATAAAGATGTATGAGAAAATAAGATATCACCTTTAGAGTTGGGGCGGCAAACTCAGATGCCTCCAAGGGCAGGGCAAGTTACATGAATCAGTAAGAGATAGCCGAACCGGAGTATTCGAAGGAGCAGCCCCTACTCAACCCCAGCAGGTTGCAGCTATAGGAGAACAGCGTCCTTGTACTTAAACATCTCATTTTTCTAGAAAACCTGGGAATCCAGACTTCTGTGTGAAATCTCTAGATGTGTAAATATTGGAGCTGACTCATTTTTTTTCAAATGTACAGCCCAAACAAGACATCTGCAAACTAGGAGTTTGTAACTCTGAGAGTTATGAAATAAAACAATTTTAGACACTCTAGGAAAATTTCATTTGGGTGGGATTGCATGTGAGATCACAAAAACTAAGTTGATCGAGGACATACTTTATAAAAAATCAAAATTTGATGCAAATTTTTAGTTTGATTTGATAATATAAGCTGATCACAAAAACAACACTTATTCACATACACATACACCAGGTCTGAATCATACTTTGAGCTCAACTCTTTCTCCCTTTCCAACCCATGCAAAAAATGCACTTGCTGGCATCGGCAGCTGCAGTGTGCTCCACTGCAAGACACTAGACAAATGGCATTGCAGTAACTATTAGTAGGAATCTACTGGTAGGAATTACTAATAACATTTGTGACTGACTAATATTCATCTATAGGACTAAAACCCTGAGAATATGCATTGTGTCTGACTTTGTCACTGTCGGGCAGCTTTTATCCATCAAAGTTGATCACGGGTTCTATCAGTGATTTCCAAACTTGCCTGTTCTTAAGACACACAAAAGGCATTTTTTTTAAGTTATAATTCAAGCCCATCACCACCCCTGTACCCCATCTCCCCACAGATTTCTGAATTTCACTTTTTTTTTTTTTTTTTGAGATGGAATCTCGCTCTGTCACCCAGGCTGGAGTGCAGTGGCGCGATCTCAGCTCACTGCAACCTCCGCCGCCTGGGTTCAAGTGATTCTCCTGCATCAGCCTCCTGAGTAGCTGGGATTACAAGCACAAGCCACAATGCCCAGCTAGTTTTTTGTATTTTTGGTAGGGTTTTTGCCATGTTGGCCAGGCTGCTCTCGAACTCCTGACCTCAAATGATCTGCCCACCACAGCCTCCCAAAGTGCTGGGATTACAGGCGTGAGCCAGCATGCCTGGCCTGAATTCCACTTTCTAAGTGAAAAGTCTGGGACTCCATATTTTAATAATGCCCAATACAGTGACTCTTCAGACAAGTATTAAAAACACTGGGTAATGTCATTGTGCTCCCCAGCGTAGCCTCAGAACAGTAAATAAGGATCTTCTGAGTGTGCTTTTGTGATGTGCCTTTTTATGATTTCACTGATGTAAACAATAGTTGGCATCTCCTATTTTGAAGCTCAGATTGAATTCTTCCAAATGCAGTTAATGGAGGAGGTAGGGGATGTGTGTTGGGGGCGTTGCAGGGAAGTCCTTAAGTGGCATTTAATCCAAGGGCCTTCATCCTTTCCTAATTAGGCAGAAAACTGCCCAATCCAGTGGAAATAGCCCACCAACTACAGAATTCTTACACCTCCTCTTAAAAAGCTGTCAGAGGTTCGAGTGAACAGAAAAGAGCACAGGAAGTAATTACCATAGCATCTACCACCCATAACAATAGCCTACTGTAGGTGTATACGTCCGTCTTTTCCCTTGTATTTTAATCTAGGTGAGTTTCTCTGAAACTTAATGATTTCAAAACTTCCGAATTTGAAGGGGAATGTAAATCGATAACCCTAACCACTTACCACAAAACTCCCTTGCATGTGCTGAAACGTTCGCGTCAGAGGGCTCAATCTGGCTGCATTTCATGTGACTCCAGGTTCATTCTCTCTCCACCTCTCCTTTTCCCCTCATTCGCAGTGTGAATCACACAGTGCTGCACTGCTCCTCCCAATCTGTTTATCAGATTGTGCTTGTCAGAAAAGGGAACAGACAGTACAAGTATTAAATTATGCTGTTGATCAGCAGGACTAAAAAAGCCACAGAAACATGTATTGCGCGTTCCATTCAAACTTTGGAACTTGACTCGGAAAGCCTGTCCCAAAAGCTGAAGGTCAAATCCTTGTCACAGAAGATCACACTTGTTGGAAAAGAAGCAAGATCAGTTGGTTAAATCCAGTTTGAGGAGGCCTTCCAGGATCATCTTAAGGTCTAGCAACTTGAGCAATCTGACGCAGCTGGGTTTTTAAGTGAATCAGCAGTAATGGGAAACTGGCTTGGGAAGGGGCAATGGTGGGAGGCAGATGGCTTATGTGCCCCTAAAATTTAAATTTTCATCCATTATTGCTCTTTATTTGAAATTTTAAAAAATTATTTAAGATGTTGTTCTTTTGTAAGTCATATTCTTAAATGTTTGGTCTCTTAAATACATAAATAACAGAAAATTTGAAATTCTAAGTAGAATGCATATTCACGAAAATAATTCAGTTATAGTTCTTAGTTTAAGCATAGTAGATGTGTTTATAAAACAGAGTATTGACCTGTATAATCTTTTCCCTACTGCCATTATAATATCAAAATCAGAGTTATTTTCCTCTAGGTAGGGAAGGAGTGGGAGAAAAACTACACACACCCCCCAAATTCTTTCTTCCAATAACTTCCTGCCTCTGTCCAGTCTGCAATAACACCCCTCCTCCACCATCCACTCCCCACTTTTCTTCCAAGCAAAGTTAGTCAAGTGATGGATGGAGATGACTTCTGCACAATCACTAGAAGCCTTCGTGTTAATATTAAAAGCATGTAAAGGGAATGGCTTGCCTGGACACTGACAGGGCTGCAGGCCTGCATTGAGGTGGCCTTTCACAGGGCCCACGGAAGAGCAACAGACAATGCAAGGCCACCAGGTCACTTACTTCTCAAATTCTTACCCCAGGTGTGAATATCTTTTTCTTGCTTGTCACTGCTTTTCTCAGTCTCCTCTCCTCTCCCTGGGAGATCTCAACCATCGATGGCTTTCCTGTCACCTGTGCTGCAGGCAGACCTCTCCCAGAGCTTGGGTGGGGTAGGCAGCCCTGAGGATACAGGACAAATAAGACATGACCTTGCCATTTGACTTTTAGTCAGGCAGGAGGGTAAGCCATGTAAACCCATCGTTTCAATATATTGTGTCATAAGCAATGATAGATGTAGGATCTGCCAAGCATTTCCATTGGACGATCAAGAACAGAGCTTATTTTGGTCACTGGGCCTTTTGTTTCTCCTTTTAGATTTCCTGTTTCAGTTCAGGATGCTCCTCTCTGTTCACATCAGGGAGCCATTTCTGCAATCCCCATACTTACATGGTCACCAAGTTCTACAGAAAGTATCATCTAAATATTTCTTCAATCGGTCTTTTCCTTTCCACCCCTACCTCCACTTACCAATGTCATATTATCAATTCCTCCTATATGGACCATTTCCACAGGATCTTAATTGGTTTTCCTGTTGAGAATTGAGATGGTCACCCCTTAAAATCCATCCTCCACATTGCAGCCTGGTTACTCCCCTGTTAAAATCCTGACAGTTTCCTTGTTATTTTTAGAATCATCTTGTCTCCTTAGTGTGGCATCCAAGCCTCCTTGATCTAACTCTACCTACCCCTCAGCCTCACCTGGGGCCACCCCTGGCCTCCTACAAAATACTTTTAGTGTCATATTTGTTTTTTTTTATTTGCTGTTTTTTGTTTTGTTTTGTTTGTTTTGGAGATAGGGTCTCACTCTGTTGCCCAAGCTGGAGTGCAGCAGTAGCACAAACATGGTTCCCTGCAGCCTTGACCTCCCAGGTTCAAGTGATCTTCACACCACAGCCTCCGAGTAGCTAGGACTTTAGGCACCTGCCACCACGCTTGGCTAATTTTTTTTTTTTTAATTTTGTGTAGAAATGGGGTCTCACTGCTGGGCGCGGTGGCTCATGCCTGTAATTCCAGCACCTTGGGAGGCCAAGGTGGGTGGATCACAAGGTCAAGAGATCGAGACCATCCTGGCCAATATGATGAAACCCCATCTCTACTAAAAATACAAAAATTAGCCAGGCGTGGTGGCACATGCCTGTAATCTCAGCTACTCAGGAGGCTGAGGCAGGAGAATCACTTGAACCCAGGAGGCAGAGGTTGCAGTGAGCCGGGATTACACCACTGTACTCCAGCCTGGCAACAAAGCAAGACTCCGTCTCAAAAAAAAAAAAAAAAAAAAAAGAGAAATGGGGTCTCACTATGTTGCCCAGGCTGGTCTCAAACTCCTGGATGTAAGCAATCCTCCTGCCTCAGCCTCCCAAAATGCTGGAGTTACAGGCATAAGCCACCATGCCCTGTTTGTCATATTGTTCTGAGTCTCCCTGCTTTGTAACACATTTATCCTGTTATTTGTTTAATCACTTGCCACTCATCCTTCAAGACCTTCTTTACCCATCACCACCTTTTCATGTGCTCCTCAGATGGGTGACGCTCTCTATGGTCCTAAAGCACCCGATTTGTACTTTTATTATCATACTTACCACTTAATATTGAAATATCTATATGTATATGTTTACTAATCTAATGGCCATCCTTAAGATCTTCAGTGGAAGAAATCTGACTTATTTATGTCCTAGCACCTAGTAAGTGCTAACTAAATGATTGTCGATGACAGATGAAATTCACAACTGAAGTCTACTATTTGAAGAACTAGGCAGAGTATGGGTTTCATGTTCCTCGCTCCAACACTTAGAGAACTTATTTCTACTCATAAGCACTAAAATAAGAATTAATATAAAGTATAATAACTGACATTAGAGAATCAATGACTAGTAATATTAAATCCCTTAAGCACTTTGGTTCTTTTGATGTTTACTTTGGATTTTGCCTAATCTAAAGTCATTCAGGAGTTCCACATTTGGCCAATATGAAGTAGCAGATTATTCTCCCTCCCGAAACAACCCACAAACTGGGCAGAATATATGAAACAATGATTTTCAAGACATTGAATATGAGGCACAGTGACCCCTGTGAGGCGGAGAGCAAACAAGGTGAGCCCTGTGGTTGCCCTGGCTAACTGCCTTGAGGAAGTTTCCGGGCCATGTTGAGGGAGGGGTAACCCATACAGAAACCAATGCTTTCCCTGAGTTGAAGAGATGGAGATGGTAGCATAGGGAAACAAAGGCAAGTAGAATTCACAGGGCAGAGCAGTGGAGAAGGAGAGATACATGGAGAAAGAGAAGACCGAAGAACAGAACAGACTCTTCAGCTGAGTACTGATCAGTGCATGTGTTGGAAGAAGTCACCCAAGCCTAGGGGAAAAGCTACGTAGAAGAATGAGAGAAAGCAATCCCCATAGCCCACCCAGGACCAGAAATAGTTCCTGCTCTCAGCAGACAGAGTGGAAAGCCTCATAATGAATGGGGCATTGGTTAGAATACTCAGAATGCCGGAGTGCTGGAGGGAAATGAGCCCGAGACTAAACACAGCTCGGATCTTACCTAACGAAGCTTAAAAGCAAATCCCAAAAAGGATCAAAGTGTTTCCAAGTAACTCTACTTCATTCTAAAACAAAGTCAAAAAATATTGATAGAGATACACAAATATTCAGCACCCAATAAGGTAAAATTCACAACTGGCCTCTAATTTTCAAAATTACCAGGCATTCAAAGAAGCAGGAAAATATAACTCATAGTAAAAAATAAAATAAAATAAATAAATTTAAATCAACCCAGAGGCCAACACAGGTGGCTCATGCCTGTAATTCCAGCCCTTTGGGAGGCCAAGGTGGGTGAATCACTTGAGGCCAGGAGTTCAAGATCAGCCTGGCCAACATGGTAAAACTCCATCTCTACTAAAAATACAAAAAATTAGCTGGACATGATGGTGTATATCTGTAATCCCAGCTACTCGGGAGGCTGAGGCAGGAGAATTGCTTGAACCCAGGAGGAAGAGGTTTCATGAGCCGAGATCGTGCCACTGCACTCCAGCCTGGGCAACAGAGCAAGACTCTGTCTCAAAAAAATAATAAAAATAAAAATAAATAAACCAACCTAGAAATGATGAGACATTATACAATCAGTAGACAAAAACACTAAAACAGTTAATAAACTTTATTCTATATGTTCAAGGAGCTAAAGACTTAACATGTTAAATGGTGACATGGAAAATATAAAGAAGAACAAAATCAAATTTCTAGAAATAAAAATTATGATGTCTGAAACACTCACCTGATGAGATTAGCAGCAGATTACAAAAAATTAGTGAACTTGAAGATAATATTAAATAGCAATAGAAATTGCCTAAGATGAAACACAGGGTCTTGTCTTTAAAACTCTGAAACAAAATGAACAGAGCATATTGAACTGTGGAGTAACTTCAAGCAGCCTAAAAATACACATGTAATTGCAGTCTCCCTCAAGGGGTCAAGGGGGGAAACAGAAAAATACTTGAAGAAATAATGGCTATTTTCCAAATTTGACAACATCTACAGTATAAACTCATAGATCCAAGAACCTTAATGAACTCTGCAAAAGTAGCGTAAAGAAAAACACACCAAGACACATCATAAACAAATTGCTTAAAACCGATGATAAGGAAAAAATCTTAAAAGCAGCTAGTGGGGGAGGGAGAAGATACTTTATGGACAAAGGTGGAAAGATAAGGATGATGGCAGATTTCTTATCAGAAACATGCAAGCCAGAGACATTGGAACAACAAAGTAAAATTATCTTTCAAAAACAATGGTAAAATAAAAACTTTTTCAGGAAGACAAAATCTAACAGAATATATCACCAGCAGCTTCCTCTATAAAAAATGCTAAAGGAAGTCCTTCAGGCAGAAAATGATGACAAATGGAAATCAGCTTCTATACAAAGAATGGAGGGCACGAAAAATGATAACTACGTGGGTAAACATAAAGGGCTTTGTTCTTTATTGTTAATATTTTTATAAAGATAACTATTTAAAGAAAAAATAATAACATCATGAGTTTATAGCTTATGTAGAAGTAACATTCGTAACAACAATATTGGAAGGGAGAAATGAAATTATAAGATTCTTATATGTTAAGTGATATCAAATCATTTGACAAATGACTGTAATAAGTTAAAGATAATACAATAAACCTTGCAACTACTAAAATAATGCAACAGAAGCCAATAAAGTGAAATTATTTTTTAAAGTACTCATTTTATCCAAAAGAAGGCAGAAAAAGAAGAAAAACAAAACAAAATACAGATGGGAAAAGTAAAAATTAGCAAGAGGATATAGTTAAACAAAACCATACCAATAACCACATTAAATGTAAATGGCCTAACACCTCAACTGAGACAAGATCGTCAGACTGGCTAAAAATATGACACCCAACTATATACTGCCTAAAAGAAATCAATTTCCAATTTTTTAAAAAATAGGTTAAAAGTAAGAACATAGAAAAACATATCCCAAACTAACACTAATCTAAAGAAAGCTGGAGTTGCTATATTAATATCAGGCAAAGTGGACGTCAGAGCAAAGAGTATTACCAGAAATAAAGAGATAATTTCATACGATAAAGGGGTCAACAAGACATACTTTTAGCCCTTTCATTTCACATAATAACAGGACTTGAGAATGCAGAAACTAATCATTGATGTAAATTACAGGTAAATATAGGCAAATCACATGTATAATCAGAGATCTGAACACTACTCTGTCAAGAAGTGATAGGAAAAATAGACAGAAATTCAGTAAAAATACAGATTTGAACAACTCTAAAAACATAAAACAAATCTTAATGGATTTAAAAGAAGTTATACAAAAGAAATTCTCTAACCACAATGGAATTAAAGAACTCTGGAAAATCCACAAATATTTGAAAATTAAATATTATGTTTTTAAGTAGCCCATCGAAGAAGAAATCAAAGGGCAATTAGAAAGTATTCGAACTGAATCAAAATGCAAATATAAGATACCAAAATGTGTGGAATTCTGCTCAAGCAGTACTTAGGGGGAAATTTATAGCACTAAACATCTACATGAGGAAAGAAGAAAACTTTCAAATCAACAACCTTAAGAAACTAGAGAAAGAAGAACAAAGAAAATCCAAAGTAAGCAAAAGAACAAAAATAATAAAGATCAGAATAGAAATCAACAGAATAGAAAAAGAAAAAAATAATAGAGAAAACCAATAAAATGAAAAGCTGGGTTATTGAGAAAATTAATTATATTGATAAACCTCTAACCAAACTGGGGAGAAAAGCAAGAGAACACAGATAGTCAATATCAGGAATAAGTAAATTACAGGAGTCCAGATTCTAACCCAGATCTGGCCAGCTATCAAGTCCACACCAAGTTGACTCCTGGGAGTTGAATGAGGCGCACCAGATGGACAATCGGGTTGGGCTTATATAAGGTTTTCCTTGATCCATAAATGGGTCTCTAACAAGCTGAATAACCTTCCAAATTGCATGTTGACCACCCAAACACTTTCCGGCAGCACTTACTCATAAAGAATTTTATATTTTGTTGCTCTTAGATGAACTGTAGTAAATTTGTAATGAATTAGAAAGGCAAACATTACTTTTTTATTTGGTAAATTATCTGACTTTTCAACATTAAAGTATTTTTTAAAATAGATTCTTAAATTCTGTACTTCCTTCAAACAAAAAGCATTTGCCAGAAAAACAAAAGTCATGGCTCGTGTTTCAAAGATGTTTTATGCCTGGCTGCATGCTTGAATCCTGACTATATCCAAGTTTTGGATAGGGCTGCCTCCTGGATAAACACTG